CGGAAATCCTGGGGTCAGAGCTTCCTATAGCCCGCACAGCAGAAGCCAGGGCGATGAACAAAAAAAACAAGAAACAACAAAACACAACAACAAATTTATCTCAGGTGCTTGGGAGTTTGATTTCAGGATTACAAGAGTGCTCCTTTTGTGGAGGGTTGCAATAAGATTCCTTTTGTGGAGGATTCCAATAGGATTCCTTTTGCGGAGGATTGCAATTTGATTCATTTTGTGGAGGGTTACAGTAGGATTCCTATCGTGGAGGATTACAATAGGATCCCTTGGGTGGAACATTGCAATAAGATTCCTTTTGTAGCGGAATACAAAAATATTCCTTCTTTGGAGGATTACAAGAGGATTCCTTTTGAAAAGGATTACAAAGGGATTCCATTTGTGGCGGTTCCAATAGGATTCTCTCTAAGCCGTATTACAATAGGGTTCCTTCTGATGAAGATTACAAAGGGACTCCTGTTGGCGAGGATTACACTCGGATTCCTTTCTGAGGAGGATTACAATAGGATTCCATGTGCTGAAAGCTTCAAAAAGAAACAAGTTGTACGCCGCCAAGAATCACAGTGGTTCTTTGCGTCCTGGCAGCAACAACTAAAGAAAAGCCAAGCGGAAGAGCCCCAAAGGTGGATCTTGGGAGCCCCCCCCGTACCACTAGACATCTATATATATGTATATATGTACACGCATATATATATATATATATATATATATATATAAATATATATATATATATATATATATCCCTGGGGGGCAGCCCCGGGGCCCACAAACAGCTGCCCCTGACCCCCGTGGCAGGACGGGGCGGAGGTCCAAAATAACCCAGGAGGGCCTCCAGAGGCTCCCCAGACGGCCCAAGCGGGCCTTGAGTCGCCGAAAGACCGTTCCTGGACTCCAAAGATAGGCCCAAGACGGCCCGAGAGACCCCCCCAAGGCATTCCACGACGCTTCAAGACCCCTCTCCAGAGCGCTTCGGAGCCAGAAAACGTCAATTGCCCGAAGGTTTGGGATAGATTTCGGCCTTCCAGCCTTTTCGGCTGTCCGACGTTCCAAGACGGCCCGATAGGTCCCCAAGAACGCCCCAAGACGGCCCAAGAGGGCCCCCAGACGGCCCCAGAGGCGCCCAAGACAGCCCAAGAGTCCCAAGAGAGTCTCTCAAGATGGCCCCAAGATGCGCCCAAGAGGGGGACCACGACTCCAAAATTCGACTCCCGCTTGGAGAGTGCCCCAGGAGGCCCCAAGGAGCCCCCAAGAGGCCCCAGGAGGCCCCCGAGAGGCACCCAGGAGGCCCAAACGAGGCCTCAAGCGGCCACAAAACAGCCCCGAGGAGGCCCCACAACGGTCCCAAAACGGCAGCCGAAAAGATGCGAAGTTGCCTTCACGACGTCCCCGACAGGCCAACTACGAGATCCAAACCCACACCCATGAGGCCTCTGACCCACCACCTTGGGCACCCGCCGCCCGCCCGCCGTCCGCGTAGCACGCACCACTCTGTACTCAACAGCTTCAGTCTCCAAGACAGCACCCTGTAGTCAACAGCCCCCGTCTTCAAGGCAACACCCTGTACTCAACAAGCTCCCGCTGCAAGAGAGCACCCTTAAGGAATTCATTCAAGTCCCGACCCGCCCGCCCGCCCGCCACCCGCGCGCCCGCCGCCCGCCCGACCGCTCGCCCGCCTTCCGCGTAGCACGCGCCACCCTGCACTCAACAGCCTGCGCCCCCAAGACAGCACCTAGCATTCAACAACCCCCAGGGCTCCCAGGACTGCCCAGGCCCGCTCCCAAACACGCCACGACACGCCAAGAAGGCCCTAAAGATTGCCAAGACAGCCCCAAGAGGCCCCGGACACGCCGAAGATGGCGGGGCGGCCAGGGAGGTCCAAAATAATCCAGGAGGGCCTTCAGAGGCTCCCCAGACGGCCCAAGCGGGCCTTGAGTCGCCGAAAGACCGCTCCTGGACGCCCAAGATAGGCCCAAGACGGCCCGAGAGACCCCCCCAAGGCACTCCACGACGCTTCAAGACGCCTCTCCAGAGCGCTTCGGAGGCCGAAATGGTCAATGTTCCGAAGGTTTGGGAGAGATTGTGGCCTTCCAGCCTTTTCGGCTGTCCGACGTCCGGCTCCATAGGCCCCCAAGAGCGCCCAAGACGGCCCGACCCAATAGGGCCCCAAGAGAGCCCATAGAAGGGGAACGCGAACCCACCAGCAGAGCTTTCCGCCCTAAGAGGCCCACAGGAGGTCCCAAGATGCTGATGCTGATGCTGATGCTGATGCTGATGCTGATGCTGCTGCTGATGATGCTGCTGATGATGATGCTGATGATGATGCTGATGATGATGATGATGATGATGCTTATGATGATGCTTATGATGCTGATGAGGATGATGCTGATGATGCTGATGATGCTGATGATGCTGATGATGATGATGCTGATGATGATGATTATGATGATGCTGCCGATGCTGATGATGATGATGATGCAGCTGATGATAATGATGGTGGTGCTGATGAGGATGCTGATGATGATGATGATGACGATGATGATGCGGATGCTGATTATGATTATGATTATGATGAAGATGAAGATGAAGATGAAGATGATGATGCTGATGATGATGATGATGATTGTGGTGGTAATGATGATGATGGTGATACTGATGATGGTGGTGGTGATGGTGGTGGTGGTGATGGTGATGATGCTACTGATGAAGGTGATGATGCTGATGATGCTGATGATGCTGATGGTGCTGATGGTGCTGATGATGATGCTGCTGCTGATGCTGATGCTGATGCTGATGAGGATGAGGAGAAGGAGGAGGAGGATGAGGAGGAGGAGGAGGAGGAGGGGAGGGGGAGGAGGAGGAGGAGGAGGAGGAGGAGGAGGAGGGAAGAACGATGTGAGGATCAGCCCATGAGTGTACATGTTGTCTTGGAAGCTCATGCGCACCTCCTCAAGGTAGTGGCACGCGTGCTCCGCGCGCTCGCAGCCCTCCTGCGTCGCCGCGTTCACGCTCGAAGGCCACAGCTCAGGCATCTTCGACGGGGCGCCTGATGGCAGCGCGCGCCTCGCGGCCGCCAGGGCAATCTCAGCTGTCTCCAGATTGTTACTGCTCGCGTTGCTCAAGGACTCGCGGTAATGCCGCGAGTGCGTCAGGCCGTTCCTCAGCGCCGCGAGCAGCGTCACGTGGCCGCCCGTCACGGCCATGTTTCTCAGTGGGAGCAACATTTTGCCCTGCCTCAGGGGGATCTTCGCCAAAGATCTCATGAGCCGCTTGAGCGCGGGTGCCTCTTCGTTGGGCAGGAGCCCTCGTGAAAGGCGATGAGAGGGGCGGGCTGGCATGGGGGTGGTGGGGGGCGCATGGACTTGGAATCGGCGATGCATCGCCGATAGATCGGCTATCGGCCCCCGATAGTGAATCCACACGTTCCTGGGCAGGTTGGGGCTATCGGACCCTGTCGGCGATCGAGGGGCGATTCTGGATGAATGCATCTCCCTATCGTGCCTATTCCCCTCCCCCCATCGTTCCCACTGACCTCATTCAGGAGCCCTGCGATGCTCCAGCTCGTGTCTGGTCTCGCGACGATGTGCTCGTAGCCCTCAGAGCTGGTCGCCTCGAGGGCCGCGCACCAGAAGCCCATGCACCCCATACTCAGCTCCTTCGGGGTGTCTTTCGTCGCGGCTTCAACGCGGGCGTCGCTCGCGGGGTCCACGACGTTCGCCATTTTCCAGGACCGCCTGCTTCTCAGCAGGGCTCTTATCCTTAGCGTTCCAGAGTTCATGCTTCGCCAAGTACTTCTCAGAATGCGTCGGGAGTTGGCTGGGGATCTCGATGGCGTGGAACAGGTTCTCAGTCATGGTCGTGCTCGTCCCTGTGGCCTCGTTCCTCAGCGGCTCGATTACCGCGCTCACGTTGTGCAGCGCGGTCGCCGTGCTGGCCACGCATCTCGCCGCAGGCCTCGCCTGTGGGAGCCTCCTCGTTTGAGCACGCCGCCCCGTGGGCAGTGCTGGCCGAGCGGCCAGGGCGGAATTGGGTTGCTTCCGTCCACTGCTGGGCTCCGCGACCACGGTCCCGCCCTCTCCTGATTTGGGCCGTCCTCGCAGCGCTCCGGAGTAGTCTGCTATACGACACTTCGCACGACAGTTGCTGGCGCCTGAGGCCGCTACCGCCGAGCCTGGAGCGACTACGCTCTGATCGCGTCCTCTCCCTTCGCCTTACTCCGCGGCCGCTGTTCATCCTTGTCCATCTGGGCAGGTGCTCAAATAGCTCTTCCGCGATCCAGTTGTTGCCACACAGTGCATCTTGCTTTTACGTCGTCGGTGACAACCTATCGTCGGTGAGCGCTACCCCCAGGACGCTCAGCTTCGAGACGAGAGCGGTAACGCGCAGAGGCAGAATTGCATAGACATAACACCACCTTCGGAGGTCCGCTCGGCTGACTTAGGTGGGCGCTGTACCCCCATCCCCTGGCGGGAGCGCGTCAGGGTTGGCGCTGGAGTCGCCGCCGCGGGGCTGGGATCCAGCGCGCGGGCCCGGGAAATCCGCGCGGATCTCCGTCGTGCTTCACAGACAAGCGTCATAGTACTAGTTGAGGGGCAGGGCCAGTGCAGGTGCGCGCTGAGCAGGCGGCGGTCAGGAGTCGCCAGGTGACAGCGGCGTGCTGCCGTTCCTGTTGCTGCTGCAGACAGATGCTCCTGCTGCTGCCCTTGTTAAGAGCGACTGGCACGTGCATGCCCATGCCCTCGCGGTCTCGATGCCGAGGAGTGATCCCATGGATTCGTTCCGCGTTGGGCGTCCGCGCAACGCCGCCTTGTATCCATGTGGCCGCGGCCAAGAAGCCAAGGAGTCTAGCTCGCGATGCCGTGGAAATATATATATATATATATATATGTTTTCCGCACGCGATCCTGCTTTTGTTCCCCCTCTTCCCTCCCCGTTGCGCCCTCCTCATGAAGTATTGACGTGCGTTCCTGCACCACGACCCGCCGTGTCGCTAGGTATGGATGACCGTCGATCGCGATGCAGGTGTCGGCGAGCTCTTCAAGGACCTGGGGGAGAAGCGCTGAACCACCCGGCCGAAACGCGCGTGAGGAAGTGATGGAGGGAGGGAGTAGCCAGGATGAGTAAGGAGCCATTACAAGTTTCTCAACCAGTGGATACGCAGCCCCCCCTGGAATGTTCAGGAAGTTTGGTGGCGCGAGGTAGCTTCTTGTCAATGAGGTCGAAGAGGATGACGATACACCTGCCAACAATGATGATGATGTTGTTGTTGATGCTGATGATGATGGTGGTGGTGATGATGATGGTGTTGATGGTGATGATGATGATGCTGATTGGGATGATGTTGATGATGACGATGACGATGCTAATTGAGATGCTGGTGATGATGATGCAGAGTCTGATACTGCTGATGATGATTCTGATGGTGGTGGTGCTGCTGCTGCTGATAATGCTGATGCCATTTTTTATGATGATGGCGATGATGACGAGAATGCTGGCCATGATGATGCGTGTGGTGGTACGTCTAGTCAGGATGACAACCGTGCTTGTGATGGTGAGGGTGGCGCTGACGGTGGTGGTTTTGGTGTTGGTGGTGATCGTGATTGCGCCGACAATGGATAGTGTTATGGTGATGGCGCCGAGTATCGTGCTTGTGATGATGATGACGATACTGATGATGATAAGGATGATGATGATGATGGTGATGATGATGATGATGATGATGATGATGATGATGATGATGATGATGACACTGGCAATACAGTTGCTGCTGATGATGCCGATGATGAAGATTCCGATGAAGACGATGCTGTTATTGAGATGGTAATGATGATGCTGCTGATGCAGAACATGATGATGATGATGGCGACGACACTGGCGATGTTTATGATGCTGATGATGGTGATGATGCTGCTGATGATGCTGATGCTGGTGATGGTGACGGTGACGATGATGTCGTACTAGTGTCATCGACCGTGACGGTGATTGCGGTGGTGGAGGCAGCGGTGGTGATCATGATATTGACGACAATTGTGCCGATGATGATGCAGTAGACGATAATGACGATGACGTTGATGATGCTGGTGATGCTGATGATGAGGATGAGGATGATGATGATGATGGTAACGATGATGCTGCTGATGATGGTGATGATGCCGATGTTGATGGTGATGCTGCTGCTGATGACGATGACGGTATGATGATGATGATGATGATGATGATGATGATGATGATGATGGTGATCATGGTGGTGGTAATGATGGTGTTTATGATGATGAGGTATGTGAAGGCGGCGGCAAGGATGAGGATGCTAATAATCGCACCGTCACCTTCTCCACATCCGCAATGGGGCCGAGTCTCGATGATCAGGTTTCGCGGCCTGCGGGCATGCGCCTGCCGCGCGCGCCGCCATGCCACGCCCACGCCCGCGTTTCTTTTGTTTTGGTCCGCATCGGTGCTTGTCAGCTCTCCGCGATGGACCTCCGCGGGCCTCGGCTGGCCTCGGGCAGTTGGCTCACCTCAGGGTGGGGGGGCGGGGCATGACGACCATGCACACACGGTTCGCAACATAGAGTGGGTGATGGATGTGATGATGATTGTGATTGCGTTGGCGATATTGGCGATGAGACGGATGATGTTGATGATGTTGATGTTAACGATGTTGTTGATATTAACGATGGTGTTAGTGGTTGTGGTGATGATGGTAATGAAGATATTGACGATGATGCAGATGTCGATGCCACTAATGGTAATGACAAAGATGCGCACCCATAGTGATAATGATGATGACGTTGATGTTGGTACTGGTGAACCTGCAGATGACAATTATGTTGGTGATGCTGATGTGAACGATTGATGATGCGAATGATGATGTCGGTGTTCCGTATGATGGTGATGGTCATGACGGCATTGGTGATGGTAGTGCCGACGATGGTGATGTTGAACATGCTCATGTTGATAGTAATGACGCTGCTAATGTTACCGACCATGGTATCGCTGATGATGCGAATGATGTGCTTATTGATTATGCTGATGCTGGCGATTAGGATGCTGATACTGATGGCGATGCTGCTGATGGTGTTGGTGATGAATGTGATGGTGATGACGGCGTTCATGCCGATGCTGATGTTGACGATGATCCTGGTGCTGGTGCTGATGATGGTGATGGTGGCGACGATGATGCTGCTTGCGACGGTGATGATACTGACGCCGCTCTTGGTGATACAGATGAGGACGATGACGATGTTGATGATGATGATGATGCTGATGCTCATGAGGATGAGGCTGAGAATGCATGTACATGATGATGATTGTGCTGCTGCTAATGATGCCGACGATTGTGCTGATGGTAGCGATTAGTTTGGTGAGTATGTTGAGTATGGTAGTGATGGTGATTCTGTTTATTTTGGCTGCAACGATGACGAGTTTGATGCTGATGTTGATGGTCATGATGATCTCGATGACAATGCTAATACTGATGCTGATGGTGATGCTGATGGGGTGGCGATGACGATGACGACGACGATGATGCTGATGCTGATAATGATGATGACGACGACGATGAGGATGCTGATGATGCTGATGACGCAGAGGAGGCGAAGGATGATTATGATGGTGGTGGCAGTGGTGGTGGTGGTGATGATTTATGCTGGTGCTGGTGCTGCTGCTGATGATGGTGATGTTGACCATGCTGATGCTGCTGCTGCTGCTGATGATGATGATGATGACGATGCTGCTGCTGATGCTGATGCTGATGATGATGCTGATGCTGATGATGATGATGAGGATGATGAGGAGGATGATGATGATGACGATGCTGCTGATGATGATGATGCTGATGATGATGATGCTGCTGATGATGATGCGCACGAGAAGGAGATGAATGAGGAGGAGGAGGAGGAGGAGGAAGAGGGGAGGAGGAGTAGGAGGTGGAGGAGAAGGAGGGGGCGGAGAAACAGTCCGAGGAGGAGGAAGGGTGATGAGGAGGCCGCGGACATCTTGAACGAGCACAACATTCTCGACGCTTCGTGAATCCCCACCAGCCAATCCAGAAACGATGCCCAGAGAAATTGCCTCGATCAGGGAAGTGGGCAGCACACAGAGCAATTCATTATGAGACATCTTGGGATATCTTGAGCCATCTTGGAGGTCATCTTGGGCTCTCCCGGGCGCTCTTGGAGTCATCTTAATCAGTGCCCCCACCAAGAGGCCAACATGTGGCTAAAACCTAAGTAGAACCAATGATTTGGCATTCTCGCCGAGGCCTCTTGGAGAATTTTGGGTGCCTCTGGGGGGTCTCTTGGGGCCTCTTGGGGGTCTCTTGGGAGCCTCTTGGGGGCCTGGCCACCTCTTTGGGCCCTCTTGGAGCACCCTTGGGAGCCTTGGGGGCCATCTTTGGGCCATCTTGGGTGAGATTGATCACAGGAGGGGGGGCCCCAATTACAGTCCCCCCTCAGGAGGCCAACATGGGGCCAAAACCATAGTAAAACCAATTATTTTGGCTTCCTCGCCGAGGCCGTTTTGGACGCTTCGACGACTCGCAGAACCCCCCGTCCAGGTCCAGGGGAGGGGGTAGGGGGAGGGGTCAAGACGCCCTCCCCGCCCGCAAACCGTCTTGCTCACTCCCACCCGCCCTCCCAACACATACGTAGCACCCGGGCCTGGCCCGAGCCGCAGCAGATGCAGCAGTCGTCTTTGGATGGTCAGCTACTGGGGGCGAATCCGCCGCCGCCGCCGCCGCCGCCGCCGGTGTCCGCCGCCGCCGCCGCCGCCACCGCGCCGCCCGCCGCCACCGCCGCCGCTTCCGCCGCCGCTGCCGAATTGCCGCCGCCGCAGCCGCTGCCGCCGCAGCCGCCGCAGCCGCCGCCGCCACCGCTACAAGTGTACTGTGTATTGTTTTTTGGCAGGGATGGTAGGGGGAGGCCGCATGGGGTTCGCTGCGCATGCTTCGAATTTGGAGGCAGAGTGTGTTTTGTATTGTTTTGTGCAAGGGATGGTGGGGGGGGGGCCCTCATGACTCATGGACTCGGGTTGGCTCCCAGTCGCCTGGGGGAGGGGGTGTATATTAGTAGGGAACAATGATAAGCCCGTCCCCGAAGGGGAAGAAGGAGGGGTGGAAAAGGAAACTCTATCAACCAACGGCGCCCAGAGGGCTGGTGGGATTTTGATGGAAAGCGCACGGGCTACAAGCTGAGGAGTGGCAGGCCTTGGGTCTCGGGGCCTGGACAGCGACCTCATCAGCCCAAGGGGTGGGAGCGGATGGACCACTGGGAGGGGGGCCCACTAGCTATTGTCAGGGTGTGGTGTGGCGTTGCACAGGCTGCACGCCACGACCCCACGACTGGGAGCAGTGGCGCGAGGCAGTGGAGGAGGCCGAGAAGCGGGGTAGGCGAGGAGAGCTCGTGCAAGGACCCTCCCGGCCACGAAGCGGGGCGACCGTCAGAGCTGCGTGGCCAGGGCCTCGCGCTCCGCGAGCGCCTCGTGCGCTGCAGCGCTCGGGATGTGGCTCTCACCATGAAAGGCTCCAGGCGGCCTCTCGGCCGCCGTGCGATCGAAGTCTGCGCACGCACGGGCTGGTGCTCCTCACTGATCTACACAGGGAGTGCCAAGTCTTCGTGCCCCCCCAACACCCATTGGGAGTGCCAGGTCCTCGTGCCCCCCAACACCGCGGCCCAAAAAGTGCGCTACTCTGCGACATTCGTTTTTTCCTAACACTCCTCCTTCCTCCTTCCTCCTTCCTCCTCCCTCCCTCCCTCCTCTCATTTTCCTCCTCACTCTTCCTTTCGCTTCCTCCTCATTCTCCCATTCGCACTTCCAACCACCACCACCGCCATCATCATCACTGCAATCATTGTTATCACCATGAGTGCGGCGCGCCCTTTAAACGTCTCATGGCCCCATAGGGAGCTTCACCGAAGGCCGCAGTGACTGCATCCGCATGGTGACTCGGGTCCCTTCTGGCGCACCCCTCACACGTTTCGTGGCCCCATAGGGAGCTCCACCGAAGGCTCCAGTGGCTGCGTCCTCATGGTGGCTCGGGTCCCGT